TGCTTCAGATTCTGTGTCTCCCTCTGTCTGCCCCTCAGCTGCTTGCACTCTGTCTCTTGCATTGTCTCAAGAATAAACAAACATTAAAAAATTTTTTAAATAAATAAAAAATGACTATCATACCTTTTTATGTATTTACTAAAATCCTCCATGGCTTGATGGTGAATGTGTATTACAGTCTAAACTCTGCTAGCTCTCAAAGCACTACAAATCCTAACACCTACCTAACTGTCCATCCTCGGGTCTTATGACTATCCATCTTGCTCACCAGCCTTTATGTTTCTTCAACATTCTATATTTCTCACTAAGGACTTTGCTTTTGGTACACTCTGCTCCACAGATCTTTCTGTGGTGTCTGTCTCAGTTCAAACATCTTTTCCTCAGTGATGAATTCATACAGAGAAGATTTCCTACAAAGCAATATGCCCCCTCAGACATTTAATTACCATCTTTTATTTTCTTCTTAAAACTTATTCCTACCTAAAATTATCTTCATCAGTTGTTTGATTATTTTAGTATATGTTTCTCTTCCAGTAAATTGCAATCTTCATTAGAGCATGGATCTTCTCTGTCTTGTTTCCCTTGCATTATCAGCAACCTTAATGGTTCCAGATATATAAATGATGCTAAAAAGTGAGTCAAATTATGCAGAAAGGCAAAAAAAAAATGGTCATTGAGATATGAAAGAGAAATTTAGAAATGAAATTGGAACATTGAAAGAAATGTCCCCTATGTGTCATTTTAATGAGTCATTGTATGCTTTTGGATCTATTTTCTGAACTTTATGATATTATCAGAAATGGGGTTTTTCAGATGCTAACAGTGAGTACCAGTGAGAGGTAATGATTAATTGTATATAACATCACCTTATAAATTTATTTATGATAAAGTTTGACCCTCAAAACTAGGGCCCATTTTGTCAAAATAATAGACGATTTAGGACATCCGCCTATAAGCTTACCGACCCCCGAGGATCTCTTGAATTTACCTCATGGGAGAGACCAAAATGACATGTCTTAGTAACTCAGAGTAGATATTCATTCATGTGTTATAATTTTAAAGGTATCTGAGTTGACTACCTTATCTAAATATTTGACCCTACATTAATTAACAGAGATCTATCGTTACATATTAGCCCCTTATATTAATTTATTTTTGTCTTTAGCAGTGATATTTGAAAACTATAAATATTTTCTGATAGAGAAACACATTACATTTAGATCTCATATTGACATCGTAAGATACAAGGAAGAGCACCAGGCTAACTAGCTGAGGGAAGAGATCCAAATGAATGAAAATTTGACAAGAGAAGCTGAAAGTAATCTAAGGGTCTTTCTGTTTAGGTTGCTGGTATGGGTGGTTATGGAAATACAGTGGTAGCATAAAGGTGGCTGAAAGGTGAGCATGGTCTCCTCAACGATGAACAGTGATGAGCAGAAGGGGACAAAAATAAAAATATCCAAAGTATATGCTTGAAATAATTCTAATAGGAATCAAATAGGATAACTTCAATGGCAAAAGAGAGAGCATGTAAATAACTTCTGATGTCAGAGGTGGATGCATTAGAGATACTTGTAGAAATTCATAGTTTGCAAAACATGCAAACATGAATTATAACTTTTTTTTTCCTTTGGAGACTCACAACATTCTGTCAAATAGGTAGGGAATTAATATCATATCCTTGCAATAGAGTTTTAAAAAATTAAATTCCTGGATATTAAGCATTTGATTCAATTTACATAGTTAATAGCTCTAAACCCTTTATTCTAAACTACTCAATTTATTTATTAACTTTAAAGGACTATATCTGATGTAACTGGAGAAAGAGAGGGAGGGCACTCCTGGTTCAATTGAAGAGAATAAGGATAATTCTGAACGGTGACTTTTGTCTCCCATGTTGTTTTTTTACTATCTCTACTTACTAGCTCTGAGGAATAATTACAAAATAGGTACACTATCAAAATACAGATGAGAAATCAATACATACAGTTTTGAAAATGTAAAAGCCTATGGGAGGAATCATCCTATGAAGGTAGTTCATTTATTAACTCCTAATCCCACAAACACAGAGAGACAAATTTCATCTGAGAGGCTTCCATTTTCTTATAAAAGAATAATGGCATTTTATACTTTGGACTTTTGACATGTCACAAAGGGTATAGTGATAAGACTAATCATTGTTTAAAAATTATAATATTAATTATTTCTAAGTGATCTACCTCAGTTTTTATTTTAAGTTACATTTCAGTTATATAAATGTATTATTACTCTGCTATGTTTGATTATAATAAAGTTCTCTTATTTAAGGTATATTAATGTTGTATGAAGAAAATACAAAGGGTATGTAAAGAAGAGATGTATCAGCTTGAAATAGTATATTAGGATAATTTAAGACCTTTTCATAATAAAAAAGATTCAGTAGAAACATATACTTTAAACTTGGTCATTTATTTTCTTAGTTTCTTTAGGGAAAGGGAAAACTGTTAAGAGTTACACACTAACTGTAAAATTAAGATAAAATAAATAAACAGCCACAATTAAATTAAAAGAAGGTAAGACATTGGTAGGGGGGATTGGTTTATAAACCTTAACAGTGCCATAAGTAGTGAAGGGGCTATCATGGTATGAAAAACCTCCTTGAATAGTGATGCTGTAAGGAGTATTTATATGACAATGAATTTAAAGTCTATAGGATATATTTGACAACTGTGCATTAATGATGCTATCCTATACCTATCCCAGGATAGATTTAATTACTGCACCATTATG